GTTCAGGCAATCTACTCACCTCAGCCTCCCAAAGGCGCGGGATTACAGGCTGAGCCACTGCGCCCGGCTTCTCTCTGGGCTTCTATTTCGACCGCGACGATGTGGCTCTGGAAGGCATGGAACGCTTCTTCCGCGAACTGGCGGAGAAGCACAAGCGCACCAAACATCTCTTGAAGATGCAAAACCAGCGTGGCGGCCGCGCCCTCTTCCAGGATACCCAGAAGCCCTCTCAAGACGAGTGGGGTAAAACCCTGGAAGCCATGGAAGCTGCCATGGCCTTAGAGAAGAGCCTGAACCAAGCCCTTTTGGACCTTCATGCCTGGGATCCGCAGACCCCCATCTCTGTGACTTCCTGGAAAACCGCTTCCTAGATGAGGAGGTGAAACTCATCAGGAAGATGGGCGACCACCTGACCAACCCTTCGCAGGTTGGCCGGCCGAGTCTGGACTGGGCGAATCTCTCTTCGAAAGGCTCATCCTCAAGCACGACTAGGAACCGAGCGGCCTCTGGGCGGCCCCTCTCAAAGTATCAGGGCTTCTTCTGCCTGAGCCTCCCCTTCCAGCCACTGGGCAGCTTTTTAACCGCCCTGGACCAAATAAAAATAAAGCTTTTTGCAGCAGAAAAAAGAAAAGAAAAGAAAAGAAAAATGTTCATATGAATTAATACTTTACATTAAAAATTTGATTTGGATGATAAATTAGATTTAACAATAAATTAGATTTAAGCAATTGAAGGATTTATAATTTGAAACTTTTATATTTTATAGGAGCAGATTTCGTGTAAACAAATAATTAAGACTTCCAATTATTCTAAAATCCATTCATTTAATTCAACAAATAGTATTGAGCTATTCCTCAAAGGTTCAAGGATATGCCATGCTTTGGCGATTTAGAGATGAATAAAACAATATCCTTGCCCTCTGGGGGATGACAGTAAAGTGAGGGAGACAGACGAAGTAATTTTGATATAGTGTGATGAATTGTAATATGTGAAGAATGAACAAAATGACATGGAGGCATAGAGAATGTACATTAACTCTAATTTTAGTATGAATCAGGCTCAGAATAAATGTCCCAGGGTGTCCTGTACATGTTAATAAGAATGTTTTACAGTTGTATAACATAGTAAATACATACAATCTTAATGCTATCTTACTTCTAGGGCCAATGTGAAAAAAAATACTCAGTATTTTTTCAACTAATACGGACAGAAAACAAGACTTCATATTAATCATCCTCTCATACTCTCCTCTTTCAATCCCCCTCCCACTTACCTACCTTTCTTTTATCTCATATTTTCCCGCATTTTTTCTCCTTCTTAGGCATCTAGCCTCGGAATCTTTTTTTTTTTTTTTTTGAGTTGGAGTCTCACTCTGTCGCCCAGTCTGGAGTGCAGTGGTACACTCACGGCCACCCCAGCGTCAACCTGCTGGGCTCCGGCGATCCTTCCGCCTCAGCCTTCCAAGTAGCCAGAACTACAGGCACGAGCAACCACGCCCATCTAATTTTTTATTTTTTGTAGAGACGAGGTCTCTCCAAGTTGGCTGGACTGGTGTCGAACCCACGGGTTCAGGCAATCCATTCGCCTTGGCCTCCCAAAGTGCTGGGATTACAGGCTGAGCCACCAAGCCCCGCCTAGCCTCAGAATCTTTGCACAGGGTATTTCCTTGGTTGTGTTTCAGTGATACATAAAATTTATCACCCCATGCAAGGAATCACAGTTCAATTCAGTTTGCCATCAAGGGGACAATAGCACAGTAACAACCCTCACACAACTGCCCACTCGTGTGTCTAAGACTGGCACCAAATGCATGAAATAACCCCTGAGATCGTTTTCATTATTTTAGTTCATTTTTTGTTGTATCATAAATGTATACAGACATGAGTACAGATTTTTAAAAAACTCTATTGAGTTTTCTCAAATTAACACAATTATTATACCAGAGCAAGAGAGAGAACGTTAATCAACACCCTAGAATCTCTGCTGTGCCCACCTCTCTCTACTCAATGTCACCTTTTTTTTGTTTGTTTGTTTTGTTTTTAGTCAGAATCTTACTCTGTTGCCCAGGCTAGAGTGCAGTGGCACACTCACAGCCACTGCAGCCTCCACCTTCTAGGCTCAGATGATCCTCCTGCCTTAGTCTTCCAGATAGTTGGAACTACTACAGTTGTGTGTCACCATGCCTGGCTAATTTTTTTGATTTATTGTAGAGATGAGATCTTGCCATGTTGCTCAGGCTAGTCTTGAATCCCTAAGCTCAGGCAATCCTCTCATCTCCACCTCCTAAAATACTGAGATTTCAGGCGTGAACCACCGCACCCAGTTACCTCTTGTTTTCTCTATAGTGAAATAATACCTATACATTTGCTGTCTTACATACTCTCTTTAGTGTCATATTTATGGAGTTTTTTATTTTTATTTTTTGTGAGAAAGTAGGAGTTTATTAAAAAGAAAAACTTCCCCAGCAGAAGTAGACCTGAAAGAGGGTTACCTTTTTTTAAAAAAACTGTCTTTGTAGGTCGGGCATGGTGGTTCATAACTGTAATCACAGCACTTTGGGAGGCAGAGGCGAGAGAATTTCCTGAACTCAAGGGTTCGAGACCAGCCTAAACAACATGAGGAGACATCATCTCTACAGTAAATGAAAAAATCAGCCAGGCATGGTGGCGCATGCCTGTGGTTCCAGCTACTTGGAAGGCTGAGATGGAAGGATCACCTGAGCCGAGCAGGTCGAGATCCAGTGACTGTGAACGCGCATGCCTCTGCACTCCATCCTGAGCAACAGTGAAACCCCCAACTCAAAAAACAAAAAATGAACAAAAAACCTTCTTTGTGCCCCAATCCCATAATATCTAACTAGGAACACAAAGGTATTTTTTAAAAATGAGTTATAGATTTTAGGTGCCTCTGACTGTTGTACCAAAATCTATCTTAAAATTATCTTAGTGCCGGGCTCGGTGGCTCAGCCTGTA